GAGTTTTTCCACATAATGTTTTGAAGAGTTATCTGGAAACACAGAGGAGTCACCGGCCAAGGAAGAGTCACTCACAGGCATAAACAGAGGAAGTATCGTCACAGGTTATGAAGCAAACATCTGAATATTCAGACATGCCCACACCAAAAAAAAAAAAAAAACACCTGTAACACAACTAAAACCAGCTCTAGTGGCTTCAAAATAAAACTCAATCCAATGTGCTGCAATGGAGGCTGATGTTAATCACTCAGAAAGACCAAAAACAACATGAAAATGAGCAGACAGACGGAGACGTTTAGCAATTTGCCAACAGACAAACCTGCATCATTTTACAGAACAAGCTAAATGTCATTTAGTCAATCACAACTCTGCTTTAAAAGTCAGATGATGAAAGGGAGCGAGTATATGGAGTCTACAGAGGCCTGTATCGCATTTCTGCTCTCTTGGCATGTGATGGCCGACAACAGGAGGCTGGTGCAGATATCCACAGCTCTGCTCCAGCATACGGCGCTCAAGATAACGCCAACCAAACAAAATGCACCACAGCACTGATGCTTCATAGCTTCAGGCACAACGGAGAGAAAGACAGCTGGTGTGAGTAAATGCTCCGGATCGCAGCAGATGAACATGCATTCTGCACATTTCTCATTCTCATCTGAAAGCATGTGCTGCGACTGATATTTACTTCATATTATTAAAATGAACATTGCTCAATATAATAACCATGAAACAATGCCTGACCCTTGTTCTGCACTTTACAACTTAACTTAAAAGTGACTAAAAAGGCTGAAATATTAAGATTAAAAAAAACTCAAGTGTTTATCTTTGGTTTTGTAATTGTTTACTATTTATTTAAAGTGTTTAACCATTTTAAAACACTTCATGCCTTCAATAGTCTATTTAAACATTACAAATATTCCGTGTATCCGCTCATTCACAGTTATAGTATAACTTTTAAGCGGATGTTTGTTTTTTTTTAGGAATAGTGTGAATGTTAAATGTATTTTGGAGTATGTAAATATGATGTATTGATTAATTCTTTATATTTTTAGGGTGACAATTTTACCATCAGTCCAGGGACTGCAGATGCAAAATAGCCTTCTAATTCTAATCCTAATTCTGGCACATTGTACATTTATGTATTATTGATGTGCATTGTCCCTGTCAAACAAACCTGAAATAAATAAATAAATACGCTCTTAGAAACAGCATGCATAATTATAGCTAAAACGCCGTTCGTATTGACGCAAAATACTTTTGGGGAGTTCGCAACAACGTTTTTTCGGGTTGTAAAACGACTTTTTAACTATGAACAACACACAAACTCGTAACTCTGCAGTCATTCCTCTGAAACTTATAATTTTCTGCAAGTAAACGTTTACGCTAGAAGTAAATATGCAGCGATGACGTCACTGGCGTCCGTTATTTTCGCTGATAAATAAATTACTTCACTTCGTTAACCAAGAGCGAGAAACTTAGTGTCTGTGTGTGTTTGTTTGTTACCTTCGTAGCACAGGATGCCGATGTTGTTGTTCATTTTGTCCAAGTACTGGTAGTTCAACAGGTCCATTTTGGTAAAAAGCATTTATGGACTTTTAATCGCAGAAAGAGCGGTTTCTCTTTTTCTCTCGCCAGGAGCGCGAGTAAAGGCCCAGCCTTTAACTTCAAACAGGGCGAAAACAACTAGTTTAACCCGTCCTCCTCGAGTGCCTAACGAGTAGAAGTACTCTAACGCAGGTTTAAAGAAAGTTTGAGCGTGTGAAAAGAGTTGTACTGAAGGACAAAGGGTCGCGCAAGTTCTCCTCACAGCCCGCTGTAAGTCGACTGCACTGACACGCAGCCCGCGATCGCTGTGAGTCCGGAGCGCGCGCCTCCTCGCCAAATCCCGCGAGACTTCCAGCCCCCTCCCGAACGCATGGGAATCACTGCATGCACTGGGGGAGGAGTACAGTAGAGGAAAAGAAATGTGCAAAACAACGAAAAGTTACTATGGAGAGGCATTTTTGGAAGCAGCTACTCCAGTAGTGACCACTACTTATACTGAATAATACGGGGCTTAAATGTTAAATATGAAAATCCATATTTACTAAGTCATTACAAATGACAACAAGCCGTGAAGAGGTTATAATGGTGAAGTTGCTATTGTAATCATTACTATTATCTTAGTATGCAAACTAGTAAAAGTGTTCCAGATCCGCGTGAGACAATGTTATCCTGGTTAGATATATTCAAACTTCTCCTAAAAGTGAGTTTCAAAAGCATCAACTCTTTAGGGATCCACTATTAAATATTAAATTAACTTTATTGTCATTTTAAAGGCACTTTTGCGTGATCAATATGCTATTGACACAACAAATAAAAGTAAATTCTTCCTTTCCTCCTCCTTAAATACACTTTATAATGTGCTTTTCTCATACTCAAATCGTCAAATTACACGACAAATGCAATTAAAATTAAACAATCATAGTAATAGAAAATCCACAACACAGAACAACATTCCCTTAAAGTTGTATACAACAAAACATGTTTTAATAAACTATTAATTTCAAGAGGAACACAACATGAGGCTGACTAATGTGATTTGTAATGACACTCTGCTGTCCTCTGGTGGAGTCACATATCCAGCCCGTTCACAGTGTGGAGATAAAGGAGAAGAAGAACTGGCTTTTATAAAGGCAGATGCCTTAAATACACTGAGCGGACAACAGAAATGAAATTAGGACGAGCGGTCTAAAACCTAGACACTGCTATAGTCATTTCCATATGTCTCCAGAACAATAGCCATGTTATGATCTGGCTCAAAACGGGAGACTAGGACTCATATTTCTTTGGTCTTAAACTAGTCTTCAAAAATAATAGGGACGTGTGCGGAAACCTGTCACTCTAGCATACATCACATACTTTGATAAATACACATGAGAAACCTGGAAGCATTTTTATACCAAAACTGTTTATTGCATGTTAAATAAAAATTCTACATGTAAAATGACTATCAATGTGTGTAAAATGAATTTCATTTCAAAGCAAACTTGTGCTTTTTCACTACACTACATATTCTCATGTAAACACAGTCCCTGCTGCTTCATTAAAATGTGAATGATGTGCAGCACAAAGAGACTTTGGCACGGCAAGAGCTTTAGTGTATTTTTTCTCTCTCAATGTTATCTGAAATGTAAATTGTTTATGTCCTCCTTGACAAGACACAGCTTCACCGTAACACAAGGAGGGATGTCTGTATGGTAATGAAATGAAATTAAGATGATTAGTTTGCTCATTTTCAACTTAAGCAAGTGGCTCATCTTACCCCACTCTCCTCTAACTGGATCAGTAGCGCATTAGCAAGCATTACAGCCAGGTAACCTTTAACAGACTGCTGTATTCCCAAGCCGAAGACCAGAAGAGAGAGCTGAAGGCTCATTCATTTGCATTGACCTCTCTCTCGTCCTCACGATCACAACGGCTCTCAATGGCTGCCGAATTAAAGGTCTTTTGAATGGCTCAGCCCTCCCTAACTCTCCTGCACTCGCCTCTCCTCCGACTCAGTCAATACCGAAGACTGGGGTCTCATATTTCACACACTCTGCAAAACGGCCCGGCCGAGGCTGAACAGAGCGGCCATTCAGAGAGCGGCAGATCCATTGTCTTCAGCTGTATCTGAGAGACATAAAATACTGTACAGCTTGACAGGAGCGAGGTGAACGGCTGGTCAGTGAAGCAGTGAAATCTACTAATGCTGCCTTAAATCCTCCCTTGAGAAGTTCAGGAGTCATTATCACATTGAGACGTGTGTTCAAGTGATTTTAGTTGGAAATAGTGGACAAGGAGAGCATTTTCATATTTGTTTTTCCACTCGTTGCTGGAGATAATGGGGAATTTATTTTTGCCTCACAAACCAGCCATATGTTCAATATTAATCATCAACATCAACAATTTTTGGCAGAGCGCCTAAACAAACTCTCACAAGAAACTGGATTTTTGTGATAGCAACTTCAAATTTGGAACATAACTTAGAAAGCGACCGTTGCAAATCATTTGTACTTTGAGTCAGTACGTCATAAACAGAACGAGGCTTCAGTGTAGACAGCATCACTGATTATAATGGGTTCTGTTGTCTTTTATTTCATGCAAGTATGCTCAACAGTAACAGTTATGTCGGATTTAGGAAACACCACTAATTAAAGAGGCTTTTGTTCAAATCTGAGGCAGGCAGTAATGCTGTTCAAATGGCCACTTGGTTGAAACCATCTTGATGATTAATTCTTACACAAGCCTGATGTGTGATTTTCTCCCAGCGAGCCTTTGGCTACTGTGAGCGTCAGATGAGATGAGAGGTGAAATGATTGCACCGCTCCCGAAAATCTGCCTCTTTGAAGTCCATAAATCATAAGTTGAAACGCACAGGCGTAACTAGGGCATTTCCCAGCCTCTCTGTCTCCAGGATCCGATAAAACAAGTTGACTCCACGTTTAAACACATAATCACCTTCAAGATGACGTCATACTCGACTAGTTTTCAAGCCACTGATCCATTAAAAATGCTGTCGTTTGATTTGAGATTAACATTATGCAACCAGTGGCATTAAAGTTCACTCAGAAATTACAACTCTGTCATCATTTACTCACCCGCATACAATAGATCTGTGAGAAAGACAGAAATGTAAATTTAAAGCCTGACACTAGCTCAACCAGACACATTAATAAGAGAGAAATGGTTCATTACATAAAGCTCTTTTCATTTCTCAAAACTAAATGAAGTGTTCTTTGAATCAATCTTTGAATTGAATTCAGTGATCCGGTCTCAGCAGGTAACGCTCCCTGATGGGAAGATTTTAGTGAATACTTTACACAAACACAGCATCATGTGACACGCAGACTCCTGTTATGATACTTCTGTGGTGCTTTTGGATGGTTTTTGACGTTTGAAAGCCTCGGTCAACACGCGAACTAACTGCACTTAAAAGAGTGTCCAGTGCATTTCTTTATTTTTGAGTGAACTAGCCCTTTAAGTGATGTGGATGAGCGCTGGGCCTGACAGATATTAGCTTACGTCGGTGTGAGGAACACATCTGACATTCCCGTTTCTAGGGGACGCTGTATTGTTCTAGTTGTTTTGGAAAAGAAACCAGATCCGTCCTGCTGCTGGGGAGGGAGACTGTCACCTGTAGAGTGAATCCACAGGAGCGCTGCACCTCAAGGGACGATACAGACACTCACAGTATGAACACGACACCCTATAAACACCATACTTCTGTGAAGCTTGAAGGCTGCTCTCAACTACACGTAATGTGAGTATTTCACAGGTGCAATCCTATTCCAAAGCCATATTTTCACAAAGCAGCCAGAAAAAGGTTAAAGTAACACAAGTATTTTTATTGCATGTCTTTAAAGGTGGGGTAAGTGATTGCTGGTAGCCAATGTTGACATTTGAAATCACCAAAACAAACACGCCCCTACCCCAAAAGGGTCTCGCCCCTATTTTGATAGCTCCGCCCTACACATACGTACGCAACCCAGGCAACGATTAGTTCTGTGAAACAAAGCAAAACCAATGTTACACCGTGTCTACACCGGACGCGAGTGGCACGGTGTGACAAAATACTATAGAACTCATTATAATCAGTGATGCTGTCTACACCATATCTATCTACACTGGATGCGGCGCGACACGACAAATCCCAGACAGAAAACTGCTGCTCCGTTCTATTCATGACGTATTGACACAAATTTCAAATAATTTTCAACAGTCGCTTTGTCGCGTCCAGTGTACTAGACAGACTTTAGCTGTTGCGGCACAGACACGGTGTTACTCACCTATTGAGAAGAAACAAAGCAACCTCGGCGTCCGATCGCAGGCCTTCCGCTCCTTGAGTTCTCTCCAGCGCTGGAAAGCTGATCCGATATTTACACGGGTCCTACTTCTTGCCTTAAGCCTTAAGCAGACGTTTTCCTCTTTTGTTTTTTATCCGCCATCTCTATCTTTCTGTCGCTCGGCTCCGCTAATGTCCGTCCCATGCACTGAAAGCTCTCTCCTCCACATCACGAGATGAGTAGACACGCCCCTTACTGCTGATTGGCTACAAGTTTGTTTTGCGATTCAGCCCGAATCAGTTTTCTAAAGTGTTTTTGAAAAATCACATACCCTGCCTTTAAAACTAAACTATTTATTATTGTTATTTTATTATTTATTATTGTTATTAAACCACTAAACCAAGGCCCCGTCCACACGGAGACGCGTTTAGCTGTATACCCATACATTTTGTATCGTATAGGCATTTCGTCCACACGGATCCGGCGTTTTGGGAG